TGTGATGACAATCTTCACCCTACTTCCAAGACTGGAAAATGTGAAAAGCAGTTTCTTTATTAAATACTAAATACATACTGGGCACTAAATGTTCACACAACTGCACTAAACTCCTGTGTTTTTGAACATACTATTTCTCTGACAAATTTCCTGACTTTCCTGTATCAAAGCTGAAAGTCACTTTCTGGAACATCACTTATGGCTACCCCAAAAGATGTTCCCTAATACTCACCATATATGTGACTTTGGAAATGTCAGTTAACCTGCTTCCTCCACCATAAAATTGAAAATATCAGTTTGTTATTAGGAACCAAGGCACTCGGAACGGTCTGGAATCTGATCAACATTCCAAGATATGATGTTAATGCCTATTTACCCCATGGTGTTGCAGAAAAGATTTATCTCACTTAAAATTGCTACACAGGATATAAAGGGCAGGCAGTTGTTTTTTTGTTCCATTTTACAAGCAACTATAACCACCACTGATCGGCACCACTCGCAGTCTGTTCCACGGAGGATTTACTTCCTTCTGCTCTGTTTGTTCAAAGTATCCAGGGACCTGCTCTGACTCAAGTTCAGACTCTAAAGGAAGTTTACGAACTCTTCATTGGAGGTGAAATGAACTCAATGGATCAGAGAATTCAAAGAAACTGTTAGTCTCATTAATGTTGTTCTATTTTACATCATTTCCACACTAAATTCAACTCACATGACACCACCACTAGGTACCTAATAAGGGCCCCAAATATAAATGATCCAAAGCTTAATTCACCACTGTTCACACACTGTGATCTCTCCCATCACTACTAGGATAGCAGTTTCACCGTACCACTACCAGATTGAGGAAAAAAAAAAAAAAAAAACCACACCCTAGATTGTTGATTCACTCACACCAAATGCCAGTGGCTCTCCAAACCTACCTTCAAATGAATACCCAAGTTGCAATTTTTAACCCTGATTGCTGTGCTTGTTTCAATCCTCTGATGATTTTAGGGGCCTTCCAATGAACTTCCTGTCTCAGCCTTTGCACTCTCACTCTGAATCAGAGTAATCCCCTAAAAATATAATTCTGATCCTACCTTTGCTCAAAACTCTGCAGCAGCTTCCCAACTTAAAGAAAAACCCCTTCACTCCAACCATGAGAAAACGAAAATGCAATTATTTTGTGCTTTAACAACAGCATAAGGAACATTTGGGATGGGGCTGACACCGTGGAAACCAGTCCTAACACTCTTGCCTGATACTTGCTCTCTTGGCCAGATCTCTTCCCGTGAATACCTTTATGACTTCAGTTCTTCAGGGTAGGCGCCAACTACCCTACTTACACTGCATAACCATTCACTTTTTGTGCTTGCCCTATTTTCCCCCAGCATTTACACAAGATCTGCTATGTTATTTTACAGATCTGAACATTGCTAGTCATGTCCCAACCCTTGATTTTTAAGTTCCCTGAGTCCAATTTTTGTTAGTTGAGTCCAATGCTAAATCCCTAGCACCTAGAGAAGTAACTTTGCATTTTGCAAATGCTTAAAATTTTAGTTTTTAAAGCTAACAGTGAATTTTATAACATCACCAATTTAACAGCAACAAATTTCTTTGGTACGAATACTTCTAACCTCTCCAATGTATGGAAATAGCTAGACTTCCAAACTAAGGTCTCTCCTACCTTAAAAATCAGTATAAATTATGATATTAAGCAGGTTGTATTTTTAAAACAGCCTTAAGTCATATCTTTAATACTTTCCAATCAAACTCCAGAATCATAAATATGTTTTAGTAAGTCATAATTACTTTGAAGCCAGAGAATTCAGATCTTCAGTGACTCAGTAACTACTCAAAATACAAGCCAAAAAAGTATATAATTATTACTAAATAAGCACAAAACGTAAATACTTACGCAATTATAGGCCCATTTCAAATCATTAGAGGGAAACAGACTAGAAACTAGCAGGAGGAAACTGGGGAATTAATAGAAGTGTCCCTTGTGTTCATTATACAGTTATATCCATCTGTCAAAACTCATTTAATTGAACTAAATAGACTGAAAAATACTTATCAAACTATGTTAAGATGAGAATATTCTTGTGACCACATGTGATTGGAGGGCTTCTTGTTATGCAAGAATAACCAGGAAAACTAAGCTTCATGAGATTTCTTCCAATAACAAGAACCATATTAAATGATTTTGAAGAAATAATTAAGACACTGAAGGTTGACTGCAGTCTGTAAGCCATGCTCATTCAAAGTGAAGTCTCATTTTAACCCCACAACAAATCTTCTCAGCTAAGTGGTAATACCAAGCCAGTTTTAGAAATGAAAACAAAAGTATACAAAATGTAAGGTACTACTTCCCCCAAATTAAAACCATTTATCTAGCTGAGAATTAAAAACCCAAGTAATTCATAGATTTGAACCACTTTTTCACCTCAGATTGAGTAAAATTTAAAGAAGGATTACTTAAGTATTGTATAATGCAGGGGAAATGTATTGATTCAATCACATCCAGTCAATAATGGGAGTTTATGTTAGTTCTACCTTTAATGAAAAATATTTTGGCAATATCAAAACTTACACAACTAATGCTTTGCACACACTAGTACTTTTAAGTCAGTTAATAGTCCCTTCTAGGAAACTACAGGATAGAAGTATCTTTTCAAGCATTTTTAAAAGGATGCAGCTATATTGTTTATATGGCAGAAAATCTGTGCATTCTCTGTAACAATAATGAATGATTAAATGATTTACATACATTACACTTGCCCATTAAAAATAAGGTCCCTGGGGATGTCCTGGGTAATGGTCAAATTACCATTGGGTGCACAATAACAACTTTGACAAGCAAAGGACAAGTTTTGGAATGGTTGCACAAAATCTCAAATCTGGCGTCCAGAGAAAGGTTATCAGTAGAGTTAGTTTTCGCTGCCACAATTTTTTACAGTATCAATCCCTTCGTTTCACCAATTCTAATTGTAGTAACAAACAACTCTCTTTAAAACACTGTAAGACAAATGTGGAATGAAGCGGCCATTGAATTATTTTAAATAAAAATGAGACATTTGGGATGATTTAGTGGAGGACAAATATGGAAGAAAATACAAATTAGACTGAGTTCTGTAACTTCTAAAACTGACATTTATGACATTTACTACAATCTTTTAAAATTGTGATGGCGGTAATAAGACAGCAAAGTCTAACAACCAACTAGCTGTTTTAAACTGATATTCAAGAATACACAGATGGATGGGCCCGAAATCAATGCTCCAGGTACACAATCTACTAGTATTATTCCCAATCTATACACTTCCCTACCAAAACATGCTGTTTTTCTAAAAGGAAAGAGGCCTAAGACATGTAGCAAACTTAAACAAGATCCATTAGCCATCAAATAAAATGAATTTGTGAAATGGTTTTAATACAAACAAATCTATGGCAATTTCATAATGCATTTGTAAGATTTACAAGACAGGTTTCTCTTCAGCAGAAGCATATAAACTTTCAAGAGAAAAAAAAAAAAAGATCCTCTGGGGGACAATATTCTAGAGCCAAGACAAAAGAATAAAAAAAAAAATCAGACTCTGGGATAAAAAGCTTTCAAGAGTATTATATAAAAATCATATTTAGGCCCTCCCTGGTGGCGCAGCGGGTTAAAGCACAGCACTGAGAATCTGAAGCCACTTCCGCATGAGTTCGATTCCCGCCTGCCGCCTGCCCCGGAGGAGACCACATGGCGAGCCAGACCTCTCCTGACCCGCCCGCTGCTCCCCTCAGCAGTGTACTCGTCAGTCTGCCTGTTCTGCTCCCCACTCTGTCTCTGGTGAAGCCTCTCACCGTCCCTGAGCCTCTGGCCTGTACCCCAGTTCTGTATGAATAAATAAATCTTTAAAAAAAAAAATCATATTTAATAGCTGAGTTCTTAATTTAAAAAATAATGCTCCTCTGTAAACATGAGTGAGGAAGTTTTTAATGAAACCAAAATGGTGATGTTACAACTGAAGGTGTAAAAACTGAAACACTAAAAACCCTTTACATTGAGAATGTTTAGACAAAGAGAACAGTTACACCGGGACATGGAGTTATTTAACAAACCAGTTTGCTTCAACTTTACTAGTGTTTTATGGCCATAATTTGTCAAAATATTTTGCTGTAACAAGTACTCTCGTAGAACTCTCAATCAACCAATATTTAAGAAACTACTGTGTGCTATGTATCATGCTGAAGACTGGTTATAGCATGAAATGCTGAAAGCAACTTCATAGTGTTGTTAACACAACGCACCTTTATTTTCCTCTTTTTCTGCAGAACAGTTTGGTAAGGTGGAAAATGCTGGCCTAGGAAAAAGGCTGAAGATGGAACTCCTGCTGAAACCAACTAATTCTTAATAATTTTGCAAAGAAATTAAAACTACATTAGAACCATGTGTTGGATACCACACAAACTAAATTTTTAAATGTTTAATAAAAATGATATAGTGTTTCATTACATCTCAAAGCTGCCACAGCTCATGACTATTAGAAATGACCAGCACTGCAAGACATTTGTATTAAAGCTGCAGTGGAACGCTAGTCACGTTCCTCCAATTCAGGAAGTCCTCAACAATCAAACACCCAAAACACACATACAGGAGTTACCTTAATGTTATTTTCTTCCAAGAATTGTTTTCTACATTTTGTAGAATATAAAAGTATTTTTCATGGAAAACACCCAAAATATATACCCCTTTTCTCCTCTAAAAAAAAAAAAACACATTCAAATGACATATACGACTTAGCTCATTTTTTAAAAAATCTACATGTTACCACCTACTTACAAATTCACCAGTCGCTACACAAATGTGTCAGCCTTTCATTGAGAATTTAGCTAAAATTCATTTTCCTTTTAGAGAGCTTATGTAGAGGAACTAAAGAATTTTTGAAAATGTAACTATATAAAAAATATTCCCCCACCAACTATGTTAAAGACTTCGATCAAATTTTCCCATTTCTTATTTTATTCAAGCATGTAACACTTTTATTAACAATGTATTAAAAAATATTTGAAATAGCAAACAACAAAAGATGTTTTAAATAACTATGGCAAATTCTAACCTCTTAAGAGTGCTTGCATATAGAAAATGCTTTATTAAGGTGTGAAAGGGATAAGTTTACAGTCAAAGGTTTACAGACACGATTATCAATGCCTTTAAACGAGTTTTTAAAAAAAAGTTAAAATAAGCATTGAGAGTTTACTATTATCCATCTCCGTTTCCTTCCACCTGAAATTCAGAAGTTAATTTGTTTTCATTTTAGGGAAGACATATATGAAAAAGTAAGTTTATTAGAAAAATAAACAACTTTAAATTTTACAATACTTTCCACTTCCAAAGTTCTTTGAGAGATGTGCCTTATGGTTTAAACACAATCTGATATACAAAATCTCATTTAGCCCTACTTAGTAAATCAAAATACAAAACACAAATGGTGAAATTAATACGCATTAAGAAACCCAATATAAAAGTTTAGGAGAAAAAAAAAAAGCACCATTTGTTCCAACTTCCTAATATGGCAATATTTACTATAAACAGTTTAGTAAACAGTTTTCACAGCAATTTAAAGTACTGGCTTATTGCCAATGTTAATACGATCATATTAAAATGCAAGTTGTGTGGTCTTGGTCTACTTTTCAAAAAAAATATTGTGATTGTATCATGGATTGGAAAATTTAATAAGTTAGACAGTAAATTTAGGCTTATAGGCCACTAAGATCTCACTGCTCAGTTACCACAGGGAAAAGGCAGAAACAAGACATCTATGATGGGGATGCCAGTAAGCTGTGGGTAAGTCTGTTGAACAAATACAGTAGATTCTGAATTATAGCTGGGTAGATATCAGTAAAACAACTTAAATTTTCAAACTTATCTCCCAATCATAGTTGCATGTGTGTATGCATATATACATACATGTCATAAACTATTTCAATTCCATATTCTTTTTTGGTATGTTAATAATAGTATCAGACCAAAGTCAGATAAGCAGCAAGGATTATGAATGATCAAGTACTCAAATCGTTAACCAGAAAATGTGGTTTTGACATCTATTTCTTCACAATGAAAAAACAAGCTTATTCACTGTGCCCCTAAGAAAATATTAGATGTGTATTTCAGATGTTGTTTTAAAATTTAAGTGAAATTGTTACAATTTTGAAGCTAATGTGATTTGCTTTGTTTTATTAGAAAAAATACTCAGGCAAGGTCTACAATCATCGGTCAATTAAGAATTACAAGAACATGAGGCAATAAAAAATACAGGTACAAACTATATATCTGAAAGACTTCTATTTGGCAATTTTTAAACAAATCAAAATTTAAAAACAACAAAAGAGATTGCAGAGTACTTTGTAGATACAGAATAAAGCAACTGATGAAGTGCTTAAGCAAAAGGAAAAATTGTAAAGAAACACACTGCTTTTCTTTTCATTTTAAAAATAAAATCACATTTACTACAGGTCATATGGATAATACCCTTATTAAACAACCATTCCAGAATGTCTTATAGTAGCAGTGCTTCTATTTGCACTTCATTTAATTTTATATGACTCATTTCATGTATATAACTCTTTACCCCATTGTTAATGAATAAAGTCTCCAAAAATTTTTACTATTTTTTAAAGTAAATGAGAAATGATTTATGTATCATGGAACCTTTCCCATTTTGGAACCAAAGGCTTAATTCTATATTTTTGTCTATTCTTTCTTTAAAAAATTTAGTGTAAAAACTGCTGGTTTTTATATCGTAGTAAAGTGAAAACTCCTCAAATCAGGAGTATTTTCTGCAGTTTGACTGCATATAACCACATACTTTACAATATGTCCTTCCAACAGTAAGGAAATAATTGATTTCACAGTCACTGTCAGAAATGAGTGCCATAATTCTATTATGGGTATAGGTCCTCCCTCAAAGACTTTCTGGAAGGATGTTCAATGTGTTTTGTTCTTATAGATATTAACAGTAGTACATAGTCCCTTAAGTCTGTAAAAGACATCTATTGTTAAAGAAGGTGCTTTATTAACAATTCCTCTGGCAGCACTAGTGAATTACAATATCCTTCAATATTATTTCTACCCATAATATATACATTTAACTTTCATGCCTCTAGAAAAACATCTACAGTACATTTCATAATATAAAAATATATTACAAATCTGCTGAATTATTTACAAGCAATGTTCTATTATCTCTATGCAACATTTGTTTGATACAATACTAACAAGTTACACATATTTCCATTTCTGTAAGTAAAAAAAAATCCATATGGCTTCTTGCTTACCAAGCAAGAAAGTGATTTTATTTTCCTTTCAAAACCAACTTTGGTGCGTAAAGATTCTGTTTGAAGATACTTAAAAAAAAAACAACAAAAAATACAGTTTTTCTTATATTAAAAAAAAACAAACATAAATCAAATGTTTTCCTCAGAAAAAAAAATTAGAGTCTTATATAGGTTAAATGAAAACATGAAGATTATTCAAATAATTTGAAATAGAGGTTTTTCAAAAACCATTGACAGATTAGAGCGTTAGATAGGTAAATATGAACATACTGTACTCCATGAGAAAACCCTAGTCCTGAAAAGGGAGCCACCAGACATACTGCAACACTCTTTAACAGAAATGTTCAGCCCTAATTCGATAGACGAATTTTTAGTTGATTGCAAATGTCGTTCACTGTTTGCTTAAATACAAATTGAACACTTTTCTTATCAGAGTTCTGCAAAAGAACACAAATGGCAACCAATCACATCTATTTATCATAGTTGAAAGGTAAATTATCTCTGATAATTTTCATTGTTAAATATTTCCTAGTAAGACTTCAAATCAACAGACACTGTCAAGATAAACATCCTTACAGTGCTTTTGGAATTTGTAAGAGCACATGTTGATAATTGTTTTTCTCTCCAATATGAACTACTGTACTCACTACAGGGGGAAAAAAGCAGCTTAAAGCAGCAAGCATGCAAAAGCCTTTAGAAGCTGTTCCACTAAGTTGCCAGAAGAGTGTTTGCTCAGTCTCCCACAGTACCACTCCATGAAAATGTGGATATACAGTAATATATTAATATATTCCACAGAAGAGCCTACTTCATTCACAGAATGTTTACACTAAGCATAAATATTATTCTAAATACTGAATTTAAAAAACAAAACAAAACAAAAAAAAAAAAAAAAAAAAGGAAGGGGATTGACTCTAATGTGCAACTTTTACTAAACCCATTGTCAGTGACTAAGACTGCAGGTGTCCCCGCTTGTTTGCTTTTATGTATTTATTTATTTTTTACCTCTTCAACCTCTTCTGCGGCATTGTTCTAGGAAAAAAAGAAAAAAGGAATATTCTTTTATTCAAATAAATCAAAAATACACTGAGTACTAAAAAAGATATTTAAAACATCTGTTGTATGTAAGTAATGTGATCTTTTTTAAAATTTATTTCTAGTCTCACAAAAGGTACATTTAGTTACATAATGTAGCATTTTAAGAAATCATTTTATAGACTGCTAATGTGTTTCTTTTAAAAAATTCCATATCCAACACATCTACCTTAAACACTAGTACTTTAAAATAGACAGGTGTCTAAAACCTAAGTAAGTTCTTTTTAGCCTCATTTTGATGTGAAATATATTTTGAAAGGTTTGCCATGCTTGTGAGATGTTCTTAAACAGCAAATTTCTCCTAAGAACAAAGTAAGTTTTTCCACATTTTACTTAATTTCACAACTCTTTCTGATTAATCTTCAGATACTGTTATAGCCAAGGCAATCACAGTAAGATCTACTACCCTTTTCCTCCTTAGGGTAGACTCAATCCTAATTTCTTAGCAGATGCATGGAAGTTTAGTGCCAAAAATAAATGCTAAGATGGGGGGGAGGGCGCGCGCCGGCACACAACAGAGCATGGATGTGGGGAGTTGAAGGAGGATTACAGTTAAAATTAAACCCACATACATATATACAATGAAATATTACTCTCAGCAATCAAAAAGAGATAAACTCATGCCTTTTGTAGCAACGTGGATGGAGCTAGAAGGGATCATGCTTAGTGAGATAAGCCAGAAAAGAAAAGGAAAATACCAATGGTTTCACTCACAGCAAGAGCATAAAGGACCAGGGGGAGAAAAAACAGAAATAATGAAGAACTATATACCAATGACATTTAACGGGGGTGAAGTGGGGAATGGTATCAAAAAATGGGGTGGGGGCAGTGCACTGGACTATAGTGATGGCACATGTGTGATTTTGTTATGGGAAGCCCGTGGAATTACAACTGAGATGGAAAAAGGCAAAAAATGATGTAAAAATAAACTATTGTTTTAAAAAATAAATAAATGCCTGAGAACAAAAAATTAAATCCACAAATGAATTCCAGGTGTTGAAAACACCTTCACTAACCACAAACGAAATGAGCAGTTAACTGCAGAAGTACAATTTGAGAACATGCTATCAATACTCCCCAATTACTTTTGAACATCAATTCTGAGCCTAAAAGTTATTTTATTAGGTCTCTTTCACTAAAATATCTAAATTGCTTCCTATATAGCACAAGAAAAACCAGTGTGAGTAAAGCAGGTTCTGAGTGAAAAGAAGATCCAATGAGAGGGGGTGAAGAGAATGAACAACAAAAGCACAAAACTGAGTCGTCATCTTATAATTAAGAGATATCAACCCTCTAAGGGATATTTACCAGTTCTAGTAGCAGGTTGGCACTCCCAAAATATTGCTCTTTAAGAATGCTAATTTTAATTACTCCTTTCAAAGAATAAACAGAATAGGCTCTAAATAGCATACCAGTGAATAAAGAATATTCAATTATTTTTCTTTAAAGAGAAAGGTACGTCATGACTTTCTCTTATTTTAGGGAGCATTATGTCTGAGTCATCTCCTTGAAAGTGTAGAGTAGGGAAAATTCAAGTCTCAATGTTTCTGCAGGCCAAGGCCCATAATGTTAGAATTTTATTTCAGGAAGGTGTCTCATTACAGAAATTCTATTATATTGAATAACGAATTCAAAAGCTGAATGTCACAGCATGGTCAGAACCTTCAAGCGTTTAAGTGCTTATCCAAAGCATTACACAGACAAAATACCTAGTAAATTATTTAAAAAACAAAAAGTTTATTAAAAATAACTTTTAAAAACTGGTTTTATAGCATTTCTAAAATCACCCTAGTATAGCCTCCCTGGTGGTGCATAGGGTTAAAGCTAACCACAGCATGAGTTCAATATCTAGCCAGGGAGTGACCTGTATGGTACAACAGACCTCTCCTGTCTCACTGCCCTGCTGCTCCCCTCAGCAGTGTATTTCGGTCAATCTACCTGTTCTGCACCCCACTCTGTCACTGGTGAATACTCTCACCACCCCCTCCTCTGGCCTGCACCCCAGCTCCTATATGTGTAAGTAAATGAAATTAATCTTAAAAAAGAAAAAAATCAGTAGGATATATCATTTGGATGGAGGGCAGTATGGAGTCTGGTCAAATACATTCTGTGTAATCTAGGAGAAACTCTTGCCTCCATTTACCAGTCTGTGAAACAAGAGTTAACTCCTACTCCACAGGGCTGCTGTAAGGATGAAGTATATGTAAAGCTCCGGAACAAAATGACTCAGCACTCAGCCAGAAAAGCTAGTCTCCTCTCTTTTACCTGTCACACCCCCATACCTTGAAATGTACAGCACACTAAGACAAAACTAAGATCAGAAAAGCATTAGAAAATCTTTAAAATACAATATTTAAACTGCTTTTCTGAAAAAATTTGGGAAGCATGTAAATTTAAGGAATTCAACCATCTTTTGGTACTTAGGACAATGCTAAAAATGCACTTTATTTTAAAATACTGTGTAAACATATAATCTAAGCAACCTAAGATTTATCTGGAATTAAAATATCATATTAACTTTACCAAAATGTTATCAATCTTTGTGGTATGATTTCCACATAGAAAGTTTCAGAAGGCAATATATGCTTGGAACTAAAACTCAATGCTTAATTTTCAAAATTTTGGTAGACTTCAGATCAAAAATCCAAAAATAAAGCATCAAGTCAAGAATTAAATTACCTGTATATGTTTGGATCCAAAAGCAAGGCAGTATCTTTGGGTAGCTTTGATAAATGAACTACTTTAGTTTTTAATTGATGTCGTTCACTTTCATTCACCCATACATCAGGTAGACTATGAATTAAAAAACAAGAAATAATTTTACATTTTTTTCTTCATTTACCTTCATATTCCCCAGTCCCTTCTGCCAGTTTGACCACTTTGGTTAACAAATTCCTCAGAATTCAAGGACTCTCAGCAATCAACCTAGCCAGGACAGAATCCTAGTTAAGTAATAATAGCAGGCTGTATTTTTAAGCAATAATCTGGGAATGAATTAGCAACTTCTGGTGGCAAAGTCAAGAAACTCATGAACGCATACTAGACCACACTACTTATTGTTTAGTTTCCTGAGTAAAATTCATTCTAGAACTTGAATTAATGAATATCTGACAGCATACATTTTTATTAAATATTAAGTAAAAACAAAATTCAAAAACAGCATTTGTAGAACTCATCAGTTTACAAAATACTAAGAATACAGACATTTGAATATTTTAAAACCTTAATATAAAATGAACAAATTAATATGAAACACATGAACTCCCCAGAAAAAGGAAACAAGGAGTCAAAGAGCTCCTTGTATCCACTGACCAAATTAGTAAATTCACCGAAGATAGGAACAGTTTAAAATTTATCTTAGTAACTGAAAAAAAAAAAGGGCAAGAATGATAATTAGCCAGTGTTAATAATAAACCAAAGCAATAAACTCTTTATTTATAGATTATGAATTGGTCCAAACTTCCAAGAAGGCACTGTCTATTCCATAAATAAACTTTATGTAGCCATTTCAAAATATTTTACAGTAGTATTTCCACAAAATTTGGGAGGAGGAAGAAAGAGCAAGGAGGAAAAAATGTGGTGGCAGGCTTATAATCACAAAATTAAAATAGCTAAGTAGATTTCTACACTATGATATGCAAAATGGATTATAAACTCCCAAATCTAATTAAGAACTCACATTACATTACCATCTCCTTAGAATGGAGTATAGAAAGAAACACTTAGAAAAAAAGGTATGTACTCACAAGGATGAACAACATACTGTTAATGTTTGAAAAAGTAAATATGCATGATAAGATTGATCCAAGTCATTTACAGTTACTGTATTCATGGCACTTTATCCAAAATACTTATTTTACCTGATCTTTTGCAATATGGAAAAAAATGTAATGAATGGATAAAGAAAGAACTAAACATGAAGTATTTTAATTAAGGAAGGTCTGAGGCAGAAGTTCTCTAGGAAGGTGATCACTAATGTGACCTACTAGAAAACTAGTTTGTAGCTTTTTCTGTAAAATTTCACAAAATGTTGTAAAATGTTAGAACTTTAAAAAGTTATTCCAAAAAAAGGCACAATTGATGCTGTTTACAAACTGCTTACAGGACATTAAGTATCCTAAAAATAATCACATCCTAAAAATAATTTTTAAATGCTCTACTTTAATATAATACTAGTTATAAGTTTCTACTGTAAACCAAGTACTGTAAGACTTGCACAAGTCATTTATTTCAATCTTGACAACTTTAAAATGTTTTGAAATTTAAGAATTGTTTTACATGTTAATTCAGTAACAACTAATTTTTCCAAGATTTAAGCAAAATACTTACATGTCTTCAGGCATCCAATGAAGCAAAAGTTTTATCTTCCCAGAATCTTCTTTTCTCTTAGCTATTACCTAGTGATATGAAAGAAATCAATAAAAAAATAAAATATATTGAAAGCATTCTATGTTGAACAGTGACATTATACTCCAAAAATCATACAGTTGTGTAAACTAATGGAAAAATCAACAAAATTTGAATTGTAAATATTCACGTCCTGGATTGAGCTACCATCCCAACATCCTACTCTCTTCCCTATTCTGCAGCAATTTCATCTTTGATACATTTTCACAAGATTAAGAAAAGGAAAAGCTAAGATACTTTTTACAGCTAAATATTCAATCTACAGATATGTATTAAACTGAAAATGTTCTTTAGCTATATGCTAACTCTGTAGTTTTAGTTAGAGTGCCAACCAAAATTCCATAAATTTTTAAAATATTGCTATAAAGGGAAGCTTCTCTATTAGTCTAACAGAAAGTGAGGTATGTGTTATTTGCTAGAAGAGAAGGAGCTGTTTGGAGGTGGCTTCATGAACATTAGCCTGATATTTAGGCTCAACTTCAAAGAATCCACGTAAGTTCATTCTGAAGAATAAGTTTTACGTGAAAAGCTGTATTGGTCTTGTATGGTATTTTGTAACTCTCACAACTTCCATATTGAAAATTAAGCTATTTAGTGCTTACACTCTAAATCTCACTTCTTTTTATTAAGGTCCAAACAGCCACACAAAATGCTATGTCATCCTCAATGAATTGAGTAAAAACAGCATTTTATAAACATTTTCTCCCCCGCTATTTAAAAACCTGTAGTTGAGTACCCTAATTCTTGACTTGGCAATAAGACTAATTTATTTAAAAAGAACAAAGACAAAATGGAAGATGCTAAGACAAAAATACCTCTATAAAGAAATAAGATATAAAAGCAACCAAGCATAGCAAGCAAATAGATTAGTAACCAGGATTCTGCTGACCTCTTCTGGAGAAGGCTCGAAAGAAATTGTTTCAATTAAAGACCAGGACAAACTGTACAGCAAAGTACCTCCTTACATATGTATTTTTCTACAAACTATTACTAGCATGGTTATTCCTGCAAAACCTAATTTGATAACCAGATATTTTAATTATTTGGTTAGGTCTGAACATGTGGACTACCAAGAGAAGTGATTCATTCTGTTTCACATATACCACCTCCATCAACACTTTCACTCATTCAGGGAAACGCTTACTCTTGTGTTCAAAGAAGGCCTTTTTCACTATGGATGCCTCCTTCCTTTCCATTCAAGCATACTTCAGATTACACTCTACCTTTCTGATGTTTCCCTCGCCAAGGTTCCCCTGCCTCCCCAATGTCATCTGGGAGAGCAAATCATTTATTGCTCAGTTTCTCAACGATGGCAAACATAGGTATGATGTTCTTCAATGGTCTCACATGTTTTCTATAACTAGAAAAATTATTTTCATCTTCTTTCCAAGCTTCCAAATTACCACTATTTTAGTTTTTTTGTTAAGTGCATGTGTATTTCTGTCATGGAGAGTCTTAAGGATTTTATCACAAGGAATTGCTCCAAGAAAAGTGCTCCACTTTTTTATTCATTAGTACGGTGTTTGTAGAGATACTTAATCATTACTAAATACTATTTTCATCAGATCAGCTGCACTCTAAGTCATTAAATGTTTGTCAGTCTCTATTCTGTGGGGGTAGAGTGGGGAATGGGATCAAAAATGGGGGGGGGGAACAGAGGGAAATGCATGAGACTATGGTGGTGGCACAGGGGTGATTTGGTGATGGGAAACCCGCGGGGATTACAATCGAGATGTAAAAAAAATAAAAATAAAAATGTGCAAAATGATGTAAAAATAAACTAAAAAAAAAAAATGTTTGTGAGTCTCAACTCTCAGTTTTCCCCTCTTCTATTCTCCATTTATATTTAGTTCCCAGGTGATTGTCCCAGGTTTTATACCTTTACCACCAGTAAGTTGAAAATTCTTTACCATCTATTTACATGAGCTCTGCAGAACGTTTCAAAATTTCAGCCTTGATCTTCCTTCTTTCCCAATCTGCTGCCACCACCGTCTACTAAATAACAGCTCCACTCTTTGCTGCCAAACCCAAAATCAAAGAAGTGGTCCTTTCCTTTGGTTATCATACCTAACATCCAATTCATCCATAATTCTTAACACTATTTTCAAGAGATATTCCTAATTCTCTGCATCACTTCTACCTCACCATTGCAAGTCTTTTTTCATCTGAAAGCACTGATCCTCCATACAGTCAAAAATCTGTTCTCCACTTTAAAATCTACTTGCGATCAAGATCAGTGAGTTTTTCTAGGGCAGGCAGTGGAAACAGATGAATTAATTACAAAGGTACATCATGAAATTTCTCAGTGATGGAAACATTCCATAACTTAAAATGTGAGGGTGAGTAGTTTCATAGGTGAGTACAACTTTCAAAACTCACAGTGCCATCAATGGGTGCAGTTTATTATATCTCAATAAAAATAATTAACAAGCCCTCCCTGGTGACACAGTGGGTTAAAGCACAGCAATAAGAGGTTAAAGCCACTTCAGCATTGAGTTCGATCCCACCTCAGAGGTGACCCACATGGTGTGGCAGACCTCTCCTGACCCTCTTGCTGCTTCCCTCAGCAATAAAAAAAGTCACATAAGACTACAGCTATCAAATTCTTTCAATAGCTTCCCATCATATGCAAAATAAAATAATGTTAAGATTCTTCCTATTATCCATCTGACTCAATTCCCTAGTTCCTCTGCCTAACTCATTTTCTCTGGTCACAATGGCTGCTTCAGTTTTTCAAGCATATGGTATGATGCAAAGTCCTCTAATAACTGAACAACATGCCTTCAATTTCCTTTAAGCTTTTAGAATTGTACTAATTTGTTCTGTGGTTCATGTTTCTTCCAACAGATTCAATGGTGTATGTACCATTGCGCAAACAACAAATTCACATCTTTCATGTACTTCTATCTCAGATAATATTCCCTTTTCTTTGTGTCTAATCACCAAGCTTCTTGCCTTTAATTTTGTGAATCAAAATCAAAGTTGGGAATTTTGAATGGAAAGGTAGGGATACATACACAGAAGTCAAAGGGAAAAAAACCCTATTATAGGAGGTAGAAAAAGTAGAGATTCAAAGAGGCAACAATGATATCCAACACTACCCTTGTTTATCTAAAATCTCCTGAATTTTTGACTAAAGTGTAAATCTAGGTTGATTTATATTTCAACAGCCAAAAGTAAACAATCTCCTTTTCTGTATCTACAATTCTTTACTCTCACTCATACCCTTACCAGTCTAATTTCCACCATTAACAATTCTACTGGATACATTAAAAAACTGTGTCCTACTGTTCTTTTGTTGTTATAAAACATTTCATTTAAATATTATAGAAGTTCTAACTCTGAAGCCATAAAAGGAATATGGGTAGAAGTTCATAAACCCTGATGGGTTTACAGTTACCACAACTGTACTATCACAGAGACACAACCTCTGTAATCCCTAATTTTCATGACCTGAAAATTTTAAATTAAGATGACAGCGACAGTTTGATGCTAACAGAAAGCTCTCAATTTAATTTCATAACATCTGATAAATTTGCCTTTAATTATGTCATGTATGTCTTTAATTTACTCCATTAAAAAACCCAGTCCACATTGTTTTGCCATTTCATTTTAGACTGAGATTTTATTGCTTAAAAAATTTTATTGCTTCCTCTTTCAAACTTCTTTGGAGAACAGCTATAGTATTTTACTGTTCAAATCCTATGCTGATTATCACAAATCTATTACATTCTCCTAGGCTTTAAAATGAAACTCTACCAGGTACAAACAGCAGGGTGGGCAGTTACTTCTTTTTACATCCCCCCCCCCAAAAAAGTGGGGGGGGGGTGCAGCACAGTGTGATAAGAGACAGAAATAGAAGTCATCAGCATGTACCAGAAGTTAATAGGTGATCTATAAGGTACAAAATAAAAACAGACAAATAAGAAGTCAAATGATGAGAAAGCAATGGAGGTAAATGAGTTTATTAAGTAAGAAGGCAAAAGTAAAAATAGAAAACTAGACTAACTATACTGAAGGAGTAAAAATATTACAAGGAATTCAAAACAGTTATATTAACTCTGATCTTTGGTATTTAAATTCTTATGTATTTTAAACGTACTATACCATAAAAAATAAAAATGGTATTTTGGATGTTAGCAGCCAAAATTAAATAAGCTGTTTTACTAAGGATTCAAATCAGTAAGATTTAAGTCCAAAATCTACCTCTATTTCACATACCTACACCAAACTACACTGATTTAAAGATGACTAGAAGATAAAATGCAAGAGACGGCCCTCCCTGGTGGCGCAGCGGGTTAAAGCACAGCACTGAGAATCTGAAGCCACTTCCGCATGAGTTCGATTCCCGCCTGCCGCCTGCCCCGGAGGAGACCACATGGCGAGCCAGACCTCTCCTGACCCGCCCGCTGCTCCCCTCAGCAGTGTACTTCGTCGATCTGCCTGTTCTGCTCCCCACTCTGTCTCTGGTGAAGCCTCTCACCGTCCCTGAGCCTCTGGCCTGTACCCCAGTTCTGTATGAATAAATAAATTAAAAAAAAAATCTTAAAAAAAAAAAAATGCAAGAGACACACAAAGAGAGTACTATTAATTCCTATAAAATTAAACTGCTGTCTTTAAATTTGATATTTTTCTATTTCTGCTGAAAAAAACAAAGTAACTGCTGAATAACAGTCACTCAATATATATATGCCCAGAGCCTACTATGAATCAGGCATAGTTCTAGACACCAGAGCTATAACAAGTAAAACAAAAATCCCCACCTTCATAAGCTTTTTTTTTTTTTTTTTAAAGATTTGTTTATGTATACAGAACTGGGGTATAGGCAGGGGGTGAGAGGATTCACCAGAGACAAGAGCAGGGAGCAGAACAGGCAGATGCACTGAAATACATGGCTGAGGGGAGCAGCAGGCATGTCAGGGGATGTCTGCAACGCCATGTGGGCCTAGGATTAAACTCAAGCTGCAGTGGCTGTGGTAGCTTCATAGTGCTGTGCTTTAACCTGTTGTGCCACCAGGGAGGGCCCTTATAAAGCTTCAATTTGATAGCCATTATCTTATTTTCTACTGACCACAAACTTCTGATGTACATTTTTGGGGTGAGGAAATATATCCATCACACACTCACAAAAAAAGTGAACAAAGAGGATGCTAAAGTTCTAATCTTGCAACAACAACAGATCAGAAAAGACACCCAGTTTACTTAAGGTCAGAGTTTGGTCCTCAAACTTGGGCTTAGCAGCCCAAATATCACTGAACACTCTTAAATAGCTCAAACTAGCGACACAATAATTCAATTAGTCATGTAACATAGACGTATGGGAAATATTTACATGATAAACAACCGTGCACATTTTTCAATATTAGTGAAAAGCAAAAGGTTTTGTGATGAACAAAGGTATTTTGTTATATCCTGAGTAATTTAGAAATGATTTGGAAAGTCAAAATACACCAACTTGAAAAACTATGTATATATAGTTTGATGGGGGGGGGAATCAAATACTTACAGTACTATGAAATACAACACTGTGTCCCTTCCCTAAACTTTCTATATGAGCTGAGAGGTTAAAGCATATGGCTCGATGTCTTATCGCATCCAGTGTTTGTGCATCGAAGAAATCATGTGGGCGTGCTAAAAGTCAATACAAAAGAGGTAAAGAATATTTAGAAAAGTGTGTCCCAAACAAATATTTCATCTTTCACAAATATACATCCTAACAATGTTGAAACAATTATGTATCTATCTTTGTTTTCAAAACAGTCTAATTGACAAAGATGCTAAAAAGCAAAATTCCAACAAATTTGTGAAAGTAAATTAAATCTGTGCCTCTAGTTCTGCCCCTTCGGGTTTTAAGGCCCCACATTTTAGTTACCATCCTTTTCATGTAAGTTCTTATTTGATTCCAGCACCTCTGGAGCACCAGTTGTGGCATTCTAATAAGCAAACCCACATGTGCACCACAAAGAGATTTCACAAATAGTCAAACATAATATATTTCATCAATATCCTATGTTCATATGTAGTCAGAAATTTTCCAAATTTGACAAAGAAATATTGTTATTTGGAGGTCTGTCAGTTTTTTGATAACTCTAAATACAATCTAAGAAAATTATAAATATACTTTTGAACACCAGTAACTCCTCCAAAATTCATTCTAACGTCCAACTCTACCAGTTATCAGCTGTCCGACTTCAGACAATTACCTTAAGCTACCTTACTAATTTCATTATTTATAAAATGGAGAAATAACAACTATAGATTATGATTAAGAAAAACAACTGCATAAAAAATACATTAAGTCAAACAGTAATTTACATTAAGGAATTTATACTACTTTCTTAAAAAAATAAACTCACAAGCTCAGAGTAAGCAACTTTTAGTACTATCACAACCAAATTATGTGTGAAAGATTTGATTTGATGGAATATTTTGTTTTCATCCCACATTATAAAATTGTGTTTTATTCTTAATAAGGAAAATTTATTATTTCTGAACTGTGAAACTTAGATATATGTAATTTCTCAAGATTATCTGTAATTAATATTTACTTTTACTGACAATAAAGAAACAGCTTACTTCCCTGGTACAGCATTCAGGCCTGCATACATGATGATTTACCACAATGTGTGGTCAATTTACCTGTACTATTCATCATTTCTCAGAACAAGTACACAAAACCACTAGAGCTTTTCTGGGGTGATGATTTCAATAGTTGGCATACTGAATAAAACACCTAGATAACTCTTTTCTCTTGAGATTTTCCTCAAAAAGAATTAAACAAAACATTGCCTAACAATAAGGAAGCAGAGCCAAGACTAAAAGAATGCAGTGAGAATGGGTTTATCAGTAAAATAAAAATATGTGGCATCTATAGTAGAAAAAAGTAAATTTTACCTAATGCTGAGAAATAAATCCCCTTCAAAATAGATCTGTCGGACCAAAAAAAAATAGGCACTTTCTCTATATTCACCAAATATACTTTTTTCTAATTAGGGTAAACACTTAGAATATCTTCTAAATTAGACACTCTCTCCTCATTCAAGATCAAACATATAAGTCATCAGTTCAATTAAATCCATAATAACAAAAGGAGCCCGTATTCAAAACTTGAGGTTCTATACATAAAGACCTTACCCATGTTGTTCCCTATTAAAAATGTCAAGAACATAGTCCCAAGGCAAGGAAGGGTTTGGTGACCTCTGAGTCACATGAAAAAGCCACTTCTGTTTTACTTTTTCATCTTGAAGTTTTTCAATATTCCTCCCAAGTAACTTTCTTAACTTGCATTATGTTAGAGTTGGGTGCCAAAGCACTTTTTTTTTTTTTTAAAGAAACTATTTTCTATAGTTCAAAATCATACATATTGTGTAACTAGCTGCCATCCCCCTACTGAATGCAAGGATGATATGATATGATGGTAGATTTTTCTTTTCTTTTTTGTAGTTGTCCAACAGTCCTTGATTATCCTCTTCTGCATTTTTTTTTGTGGTTTTATTTATTTTACATTGTTGCTCATTTTTGGACAATATCTGATTTCTCCCCTCAGTTATAGCCCCCATCACATCACCCATAAAACATCATCACATTCCCTCCACCTAGTTTGATTCCCCCTCCAACCTTCCCTAGCTATATCTCAGATTTATACTTTGCTACTTTTATCTTTTTTCTCCCAATCCCTTGTTTGTCTTCCATATATTCACCCCATAAGTGAATCCATATGATGGTAGATTCTTAAGTATATTGTATCTGGAGGTGCAAGTATACAGGAAAATCAAGCAAAAGTAGCTCACTGGTAGCTCTCTAAGCAAAGGGCACACTTGTGCTTACTGTATACTATTCTTTCCATTTTAAAGTATGTACAAATAGGCCCTCCCTGGTGGCGCAGTGGGTTAAAGCACAGCACTGAGAAGCTGAAGCCACTTCCACATGAGTTCGATCCCCGCCTGCCTGGGAGGTGACCACATGGCGCAACAGACCTCTTCTGACCCGCCCGCTGCTCCCCTCAGCAGTGTACTTCATAGATCTGCCTGTTCTGCTCCCCACTCTGTCTCTGGTGAATCCTCTCACAGCCCCTGCACCTCTGGGCTGTACTCCAGCTCTGTATGCAAATAAATAAATCTTTAAAAAAAAAAAAAGTATGTACAAATAAAAAATAATTTAAATAAAATGTAAAAATTGTGTGAGGCAAAATTACTTATGGTATTCTTCTATGTGTATTTTTACCTTGTCAATTAAAAAAGACCTTTATGGATTACACATGGAAGATACTAACAAAAAGGTTATTTTAATATTTTGCTCAAGGTATGTGTATTTTTAAAGAAAGGATGAACCACAGGAGTAACTCTGCTAGCTCAAATCACAGCACTGTTTTAATACTAAATGACCACAGTAAAGGCCTTGAATCTTTTTTTTTTAAATATTATTTATGCATTCAAGAGCTGAGGGTACAGACCAGCGGTACCGGGGGTGAGGGGCCTCACCAAAGACAGAGTACGGAGCAGAAGGCAGATCTACTGAATTATAAGGCTGAGCAGCAGGTGGCAAAAAGAGGTCTGCTGCACAGTGTGAGTCATCTCCCTGGCCAGGGATCAAACTCATGCTGAAGTGGCTGTGGATAGCTTCACAGTACTGAGACTTAACCCCTTGCACCACCAGGGAGATCCCAAGTCCCTGGATTTTTTGACACTTGTAAGTATTACTGATTTTTTCAATTCTCCTCAATATAACAACAATATCGGGTTTTTCGACCCCCACCTCTTCTCCCACTCTCTGGCTTGCCCTCAACTACTATCTGGCTAATACTGAAAAAAGCACCACTGCTAACAGTGGTAATAATGCACTTAAGGAGGCACCAATCCTCCACTAGTTCTAAGTAAAAGACTTAACCTAGGTAACAGGATGGTTCCCAAGAAAAGAGGAGCTCCCAAGTTCCCTGCCCTACCCAAGAGAGGGTGGAACTGAGCAGGGAGGAAAAGAAACTGGAGAGAATACTCAAGTAGCAAGGAAGAGGGATGGAGAGCAAAGGAGATCTGGCGGAGGCACGTTGAGCAAAGACACGTGAGGAAGCTGCACTGGCTGAAAAAGCCATAATATATATTTCATAATTTTTTGTGTGGCTCTAAGCCACACAAGTAACCAGAAGTCTATTTTTATTTTTTTTTAAAGATTTATTTATTTGTGCGTACAGAACTGGGGTACAGGCCAGAGGCTCAGGGGCAGTGAGAGGCTTCACCAGAGACAGAGTGGGGAGCAGAACAGACAGATCTATGAAGTACACTGCTGAGGGGAGCAGCAGGCGGGTCAAGAGAGGTCTGCCACACCATGTGGTCACCTCCGGGGACAGGCAGGAATCAAACTCATGCGGAAGCGGCTTTAGATTCTCAGTGCTGTGCTTTAACCCATTGCTCCACCAGGGAGGGCCCTATTTTTATTTTTATAAACAGAAGCTAAATCCATAACTTAAATTCAATAACCAACTCTGAAAAAAATAAACTGTTTATTTCAACAATGTAAAACAAAGTTTGTCATATGTGATTTGCTCATTTGTCTACTGCAGCTTGGCAGTAACAAATTCCAATGTTTGAGAGACAAGCTTTATAATCTTAAAACACAAGTTAAGGCCCTCCCTGGTGGCGCAGCGGGTTAAAGCACAGCACAAAGAAGCTAAAGCCACTTCTGCATGAGTTCGATCCCCGCCTGCCCTGGAGGAGATCCATATGGCGAGGCAGACCTCTCCTGACCTGCCCGCTGCTCCCCTCAGCAGTGTACTTCGTCGATCTGCCTGTTCTGCTCCCCACTCTCTCTCTGGCGAATCCTCTCACCCTCCGCATCTCTGGCCTGTACCCCAGTTCTGTATGAATAAATAAATAAATCTTTTAAAAAAAAAAAGCACAAATTAAGTATCTGCAGTCTCTTCTACATGCTAATCAAATCCCCAGAGAAAAGGTAAGATGCAATATTTTTTTTCTTTTCTAGTTCAGCCATACAGTCGACCCCATTTCAATGACAGCTTCACTCAGGATATACTTGATTAGTCAAGGCACAGAGCAAAGCTCTGAAGAGTCAAAGTCAATTCCTACTCACAATTTTTACAAGCCTTACCATGTAATTATCTTAAATATCCAGCATGCATCTCATAATCCAGTAATTAAACACATAACTACTGTATGTATGTTCTACACGAAATAATCTCATTATTTGCTGAGACAGACAGCAAATACTCTGCTAACTATACACATCACTTTGGAGTATACAAACTGACTTTCAGTGACTTTTACCTGTATCAAAATCAAATGTTCTATAATATTGTTTGAAATGCAAACATTGCCACATTTTAAATGTTCTTAAAACAAAACCAAAATAACCTCCAATGTAAGTGCACACCAATCTTACCAAGCTAAGGCCACCCAGTACTTTTATTCCCTTTGCTACTACAGAAAAAATACACACGACTGAATTCTTGCTGACAGACAAGTTCCCTGATTAATACTGTTAAAAAAAAAACCGGTGAGTTTTAGAATGTTGGAAACTAGATATTTATGAAAGTCAAAGACATAAATACAAAACGTCTAAACACACAAAATTAAAGCAAAATACTTACGTAATGAGCGTCGTCTTTTGTTCTTTAATTTCCTTCTTTTGTTCATTCCAGCTTTAGAAGGAGATTCTTCTTTGGCCTTTGGCTGGCTAGACACCTTTGAGGAGTTCTGCTGACTGAAGTGTGTGGGTACGTGGCGAGCTAGCCCTCCCTGAGACGCAAAGCTGGCATTGCAGCCACCAACAACACACTAGATGAAAATAAGAAAGGATGTCAGTAACACTGCTGAAGGCACAGGCACATGTGATGAGCAACTATTTTGTATTTGCATAATTCCATGAAGCAGCACTACAGAACTAATTGTAGGATGAAACTGTATGAAATAAAACCACCTTTTTACTCCATAAGTTGCCCAAAATAATACACATTGAGCAGTGACAGAATTGGAAAATAAAATGAAGTTTCATGAACCCCAATTTACTGCCCTTTAAATAAGCAAGTGAGATTTGACCAGAAAAGGTTGGTTTTGAATTCATCACTTTTCTAAGAGGAACATTAAGTCGTTTGAACTCCAAAGAATTATATACCCTGACAGTTAATTGGACTCCTGGATTTTCTGTTTTAAAATATATCTGAAGATGTGTGCAACTTCAAATGTTCAGCAGCCTCTCTACAGATCTATACTGTTACTGACAGGAATGAAATACAATACTGACGATTAAAGGACAGCTATTTAGCCTCTCAGAGAAGACTTGTGGCTCAAGGCTGATCCTGTGCAATCCCTGTAAGTTCCATTTTTAACAAAATTGAGGGGAAAAAATGGTTAACTGCCCAATTCGCCAAGATGATTTTTCTATTCCGGCAATGAATAGAAAATTGTGTAAGTATCACCAAAATTACAATACAGAAATTAGCCACAATACAAACATTTATGATTTCTAGCTAGATCTTAGAACTATTTGCAGATCTTCTAAAACAAACACCATTTTCCAAATCGATGCCCAAAAAGCAAATTCATGGCATCTTTATTAGTAATATATCAAATTTACTTAGCTTCTGACTTGAAACCAAAGTCCCAAAGAACGCATATAACACCAAATTCACCGATCACATTATTCCTAGGAGGTTCAACTTATACTACAGTTTATCTAGGTAATAGCACAAATCAATTATCTACATGCTTTCAGGCTCTTTCAATTTGGGTGCCGCTAATATTTTAAATGTCTAAAAATACAGGCTCTCCCTGGTGGCACAATGAATTAAAGCATTGCACTATGAAGCTATCTGCAGCCACTACAACACCAGTTCAATCCCTGACCAATCCCTGACCCTGGCATAGCAGAACTCTCCTGACCAGACCCCTGCTCCCCTGAGCAGTATATTTCAGTGGACTTGCAGGTGCTGTTCCCCACTCTGCCTGTCCTGTATTTCAGGCAATCCATGTAGTCCGCTCCCCACTCTGCCTCTGGGGAATCCTCTCAGCACCACACCTCTGACCTGTACGCCAGTTCTTGCATGCTTAAATAAGACCAAAAAAAAAAAAAAAGAGGGATAATCCTCCTTGTTTTAAGAAGCTGACAAAAACAAATTCTCGAAAGCCAACTGTACTTACAGAGGCTATCAGAAAAGGTAGAGGGTAAGAATGGTAGGGAGGGAGCCAGTGGGCAGTAGTCAAGGATCACTGGTACTGGGCTACCCATACTTATAGTTGAAGAAATGCAAATTTATAATCCTAAAATGTATAGTATCATAAATTAATAAACATAATAAAATACGTTAGCTAAATTAGTAGTGATTTTTAGTAAAGACTAGACAATGGTCACATCTAGAACTGAGAGTAAATAATAAAAGCTTATTTTTAATCAATGGTGAGCCAATTCTCTGGAAATGAAACAAAAAAGATAATTCTAATAAAAAAAATTGTTTTAGGGCCCTCCCTAGTGGCACAGCGGGTTAAAGCCCAGCACTAAGAAGCTATAGCCACTTCCACATGAGTCGATACCCGCCTGCGCTGGAGGTGATCCACATGGTGCAGGTGCAGCAGACCTCTCCTGGCCCACCCGCTGCTCCCCTCAGCAGTGTACTTCATCGATCTGCCTGTTCTGCTCCCCACTCTGTCTTTGATGAATCTTCTCACTTCCCCTGCACCTCTGGCCTTACCCCAGTTCTATATGCACAAATAAATCTTAAAAAATAAAATGAAATGTTTTATTCTTGACTGGTCATCAAAAATCATAAATATAAAAAATAGAAAGTAGAAAAGTGATTTTATGAACGAGACTTTACCAGGAGCACATATTTTTTTCTTATACACAGATTATTATACCCTAAAAGAAAAAAACATTTTTAAGTGTCATCTAATCAGCAATCTATATATTAAGTGTATAATACAGAGAATAAAAGATAAAACTATTGTTGCCTTGTAATATAATTCCTTATAGCATAATTCATGATGTCGGATGTAGTATCAGCGTTCAAATGTTAATATTGTACCTTCACCTGCACATCTACAACCACCCCAATCTTGCCACCACACATGGTCTTCTGATGAAAAAGCAACCTGTTCTACCCATTAAGGGAAAAAACTGGTTGACAGTCAGTCACTGTTTGAAATGTTCTATCTCCCAAGTCTACTGAAATACTCTCTCTGCATATATATAGCTACTGGCTATTACTAGGGGATAGATTATCTAAAATTTGAAACTTGGAATTATTGTTTCTTTCAAATTTGTTCCAATAAAGCAATACTAAAACTCTCCCTGCTAGTACTAAGAATTATTCATATTTATAGCCCCAAAAGTGCTATAAAAACCAACAAGAGGCTACTGAAACAGCTGAAAGCTCCAGTTTCACTGAAGTTATCATGGTATTAACAGAAGATCTATCTAAACAAAAACAAAAACTTCACATAGAAATAGTTTGTAGTATTTACAGAAGCATCAAATAATGTTGAGATGATAAAGTCAGGATAAAGAAACCAGGGTCAAAATACATGGGTATATGAGAACTTTTTGTGAAATAAAAATCCCAGTTAGAAAACATTCTACATAAATCTACAATTACAGCAAAGAATGATTCATTTGAGAATTGCTAGTAGTATATATGGCTGGAAAACAATTTGCTGTACGGGTATGGTGAAGGAATGAATAAAAAGGAAGGTAAAAAACCTCATTATGTGTCATACTAAGAAACTGGTACTGTAATTTGCAGAGTAAGGTGTTAGCAAGAATTTCAACAGTGACTAATGGGAACCACAGAAGATGAACTAGAGATAAAAGGGTAGATCTACTATCACATTCAAAATATAATGGACGGTAAAATTAACAGAATTTTGGAGTATTTTGGGAGCACAGAGAAGCTAAAGGAGGAAGCAACAATAATGCAGGGCTTTTCACAGTCACAATTAACTGGATGAATGGTCTTACCATTTGTTGAATCCAGAGAAGTATGTTTGGAATCGGAAAAAATCTCAAGTTCAAGTTAAAATTGAAATATTCTATCAGACAATCAAGTTTTAACACTATTCTGGGATCCAAGAGGAAAACTTAGGGCTAGAGATAAAGATCTGGGGGCAATCTGAATATAAACAAGGACTGTATGGGAACCTTTATAGTAAATCAGAAACCTGCGAAACAGTCTTAGAAGGAGCAGCTGGCTCTCCCTGGTGGCGCAAGGGGTTAAGACACAGCACCATGCAGCTATCCCAAGCCACTGCACCAAGTTTGCTATCCAGTCACAGAGGTGACCCATATGGCACAGCAGACCTCTCCTGCCTCTCCTGTATTTCAGTCAATCCACCGTGTTCTGCTCCCCACTGTCTCTGGGGAATCCTCTCAGCTCCACCATCCCTGGCCTGTACCCCAATTCTTATATGAATATAAATCTTTAAAAAAAAAGTAGCAGCCACTGAATTTGGGAATTAATGGGTAGGGGAGGGAAGGGTGAAGAATGGGAACATGTGGTATTCAAGGAGGTCTAGAGAAGACAGTCAATAAAAACCAGGTCATACAGGTAACATGCACATAGTAAACAGCACAGATCTTTCTTCCTCCCTGGTTTATTTTCTCCTTAAAAACAACTGAATTGGCAAACTACCATTTGCATTTTACTAAAATCTCATAATTAACCAATAAGATCAATTATTTTCAATGGTTACTACCTTCTTACTAATCATAAGACAAGTAAGTTTAGGGAACATAAAACTATGCTTAATCCTAAAATGATATATCCATGACTTTATTTCCTGTATCAAAATCAGTGAGACCTTACTTAGTTTTTAGCCTCTCATTCTCAACACTCCAAAAAAGACTCTTATCATTCTAATCTTAACAAAGATGCCCCAGAAGCAATATGAGCAAAGATTCATAAGCTCAATATGTAAAAATCTTAGATGAGCAATGACAGTCACGGAATTAGAAGCCATCAAATTAAGAAAACATTAGCACCATCTATAAACCAATGATTAATAGACCAATGGAAAAAACAAAACACAAAAAGCCCGGGAAGTAGAGTATCAACTAATATGTCTTTTCTTGGTGGACATTTAACTACTGTCCCATTTTCCCCTATATAAAGAACAATATTCAACGAAAGTTAAATGTCTGGGAATATTATGCAACCACCAAGAAGTAAATAAACACAAAATTATATCCATCACAGAACTGGAAGAAGCAGGATACACATATGTGAAATTGTTACCCTCATTCCCAGGTGACAAAGTAGAGCACAAAGAGTCACGCTCATACTACTAGGAGTTAAGAAAAGGTTGTTGGCTGTGAACTCCCAAGATCTATCATACACAGGTTATAGCAGGTAACAAGTATACTATTAGTCCTTTTCCTATTCTGTATCCCTGATTCCTTACACAGGATTTATCCTAAAAAAAAATAAATAACATGGCCCTCCCTGGTGGCGCAGCGGGTTGAAGCACTGCACTGAGAAGCTAAAGCTGCTTCCGCATGAGTTCGATTCCCGCCTGCCCCGAGGTGACCACATGGCGTGGCAGACCTCTCCTGGCCCACCCGCTGCTCCCCTCAGCAGTGTACTTCATCAATTTGCCTGTTCTGTTCCCCACTCTGTCTCTGGTGAAGCCTGTCACCGGCCCTGAGCCTCTGGCCTGTACCCCAGTTCTGTATGCACAATAAATAAATCTTTAAAAAAAAAAAAATAACAAGTCTCTGTTCTTCAGTAAAGACAGTAGACATTCTTAAAAATACACCATCTGAAATTTAAAAAAAAAAACACCACCTG